CTCTATATTTTAGAAATGAGACAGTATCAGACAAAACTTTAGCAAGTTACGCCGATTTTTTTACCGATATATTCTTTATGCGGGGTATTGCAGAGACTTTGGACGTACAAATACCATAAACATGATGATACGACATATCTCTATCAATTCTTTTACGACAGTCCAATAATGATGATAAAAAAACTATTCAACATCACCATTCCAGGTACTACAGTTAACTAATTAAAAATTATGTAAATTTATTTCATTCTACAAATGATACGAGCACTCTTGTATCATAAATTTAAAATTATGTCTTCAAGTATTCATAAATAGCTACATAGATCATAAGAAGTCAAACGGTAATTCTATTTGAAGCATTTTATGTAAGAGATAAAGAAATTAAATTGTCTCTTAGCAGCTAGTAAATCTATGTATAAATTTAGAATAAATATTATGAGTCTGAGTATTTAAAGTAATTTTCGATCAAATTCCAAAAATCCAACACCTGTTATCACGGATTTAATTCCAATAAAATGCATACCGTTAAAACAGGGAAATGTATACGATTATTTAAATATTAATATTAGATCTCGCATGGAAACTTTCCATAAAGGAGAGGAACGCTGGGACTGGAAGAAAATTAAAAATATAAATTATAACATTCTCTGTCCGTCAAAATCTTCAACAAAGCTTTAGTTTAAAATATTTTGCATTCTTGATAACAATTTTGTCGCCAGCAATTCTTTATACTATATTTATTATATTCTATTATATATAATACATACCCTTCCATTACTTTTTGAAAAACATTCTTCGCGAAAAATTTTTTGTAAAAATTAACCTTACTTTCTTAAAATTAACTTGTAAAAATTTTATCCTTGCTTTCTTAATATTCAGATAGATTGTTCATAAAATCGATAATCTTAGCTACAACTTCGCTTATTTTGAAATTTTTTTTAAATAACGCTAGTTAAATGTGTTATGTCATAGAAACCACCAATGTAACATGAATATAAGAAAAATGTAAAACATATAAAATTATAATGCATATCAACACATGTTGAATGTACAATTAGATATATATGAATCAGTTATTGGAATAAATTAATTAAAAATTCACAAATATTCCTTCGTAAGCTTTTTAGTGCAAAGTTACACATTAGCATTACGACATTAGCATGAAACAAAAAACAAAAATATAATTTTTACTACACAGCATAAATTGCTATGTGAATGTAATATTGAATTCAGAAGCCAAACTCACTAACTCCATCAAACAAAACTCCATTAATTTATGTTATTTACGAAAAGTTAAGCACCAACTATGTACTTTGGTACTAAACTTAAAAAAATTGCAAAAAGTTAATCATGAAATTTCTTTTGTTTTCAAAGTTTAACATTGTATTAGCATATTCGGCATAATTATATTTCAATAAGCATTTGCACAGATAAAATTACATTCAACATTATCATAAGAATGACTTTATCATTCATAACGAAAAGATAAAATAAATTATAAATTCCTTTACATAAAATTCGTTTCTGAAAATAGCTATTGCCACAAACTTTGCAAAACAGAATATCTAACAGTCGTGTAACGAAACTCGAAGAACTTGTCAACGTTGCTTCCTTATCAGTGTTTTTTCCGCGTTCATTATGAACAAACGCAGAGTAGATGTGAACGTGCATGAAGGAAAGTTAATTGGCATTGTGGAAGAATGCGTCTATGGTGGCAATTACATCGCTTTTCGAGGAATACCTTATGCAAAACCGCCGGTTGGCGAATTGAGATTTAAGGTTGGCATACATTAAAAATTTTATATTTCAAATATAAACTCTAATGTAAACGCTAATACTGACGTTTGAAAGAGAGAAGCATCAATGCGATTAAAGTACAAATAACATATAAATTTAAAAAATTATATTGAGATAACTCTCTTTAATTTAATATTCAATTTAAATCGCAAAAAGTTTAATACCAGTAAAATCAGTATACGTTGATTACTTCTGTCACTAATTTCTCAATTTTCCGCAAATGTTCACGAATTATCAATAATGTAAACTACTGAGATCAGCATAAATTGTAATTGCACATATATTTCACATTAAAGATGAATATAGTAATTACAACCGAATATATTAGTAAATTTTTTATTTAGGATCCAGTACTGCCGAAACCATGGTCCGGCAGCAAAGATGCTTCAAAATACGGAAATAATGCTGTTCAAATGGATAAGTTCTCACGCCAAATAATTGGCAATGAAGATTGCCTCTACTTGAACGTATATACCACGAATATCGACCCTGAGAAAAAACAACCCGTAATGGTGTGGGTACATGGTGGTGGTTTCTATATCGGTTCGGGCGATGCAACTTCTTTCGGCCCAGATTATATTGTCAAAAAAGAGGTTGTACTAGTCACACTAAATTATAGACTAGGAGTTCTCGGTACGTTATTTGTATTATAAACAATTATGATATTCGTGATCGACTAATTTTACAAAATAAACACTTTCAGAGACTGAGCTTCTCGTATTTTAAATTACACACTGATTTTAAAAATAAATAATTTTGGAAATCAATTTTCCAACAACTAAATTTTATCGAGAGAATTTTACTTTACGTTCCTGATTTATTTTTGTGCACAGAATCGTTACATATACGATTTTATTAAAAAATATTACTCTTTACATACGCGTCTTCTCAGGTTTTCTCAATTTGTACGATAAAGTGGCGACGGGCAATCAAGGTTTGAAAGATGTAGTTATGGCATTACAATGGATTCAGAAAAATATATCTAATTTTGGTGGAGATCCGAGAAATGTTACTATCTTTGGCGAAAGCGCTGGAGCAGCTATTGTGCATTATTTGGCTATATCTCCTGTAGCTGAGGGTATTAAGCATGGTTTTATTGATATATACACAATGCTTTAAACGTTTAAACTACTACGCATAATTATGGATTTATTGGCCAGTTTGGAATTGATTTACGTACACAACAAAAGTATCAAGATGTTAAACTCTGAAATATATAGAAAATAAAAATTTTCTCCAGTTAATTTGAAATAAAACTTACTGCAAAAATTTCAAATTGCAACATTCAAAATTAAGTCAGATTTAAAAAGTAAACAGACATGTATTCAAATTGGAGAAATTGTAGTAAATAAAACTATTTTCCTCAATATTTTCACTAAACCAGTCCCTCTAAATAAATCAAATTGACATACTTCATACTCGTTACTGCTTCGTGTATGCGCCAGGTTTATTCCACAAGGCCATTTCGCAAAGCGGCGCTGCCACGAATCCTTGGGCCTTTACTGAACGAGAGCCCCCCTCAACGAACAAAGGTTTCCAACTGGCCGAGAAACTCGGAAAAGCGACCACAGATGCCAAAGTCGCATATGAGTTTCTTAAAAAAATCGATGTCAAGAAGCTTATACAGACTCAAGAACAAGATCTTTTGACTGTAGAAGTAAGTTTCCTTAAGGTTTTTATATTTTAATATGATTGTAGTATTAATTATGTGTATGCTGATTTATATGAACAAAATATTTTCATTCTATTTACAGGAACACCAACAGTTTCTTTTGCCGTTCTCACCTAGTATGGATAACGAATCATCGAACCCATTCTTTCCAAAACCGATAAAAACATTAATTAATCGTGGAGTAAAAGTACCGTTTATTGTAGGATATACTAATGCTGAAGGAATATTATTTATAGGCAGTGACGCTTTCGATCGTAAGTACATTTATTTTTATTTTACTAACACATTTTTTATCGTAAACGTTACAAAGTAAATTCTTCCTTATTAAAAATTTTCTTAAAATATTAACCGCTTGACGTGTAACTCGATATATAATAATCGCATGTATAGTTTGAATAATTGTAAATAATACAATGATAAAAATCGTTTTAAATCATTTCAGTCTCAACCAAAGAAGCTCTTAAGCGAGTCGATTCTGATTTCAAGAGCGCCATATTACCCCGTGTTTTGTCTAAGCTGCCAGAAATACCGATTACTGTTGAAGAATTACGCTCTATATATTTTGGCGATAAAGCAGTGTCAGAAGAAACTCTGAAAAATTACGCAGACTTTTTTAGCGACGAAGCATTTTATCCAGGTCTTATAGAAGTAGTTGATATTCAAATACAATCTGGTCATAGTTCAACATACCTATATAATTTGTCATATGAAAACGAAGCTTGTCCTACAAGAAAAATTATGAATATTAGGCTTCCAGGTATTACATCTGATTAATTAAAGATCTTTAATCCTATGTAGAACAAACATTGTCACATCACATAATTATAAAAAAGTTCTTTTCTTCAATTACATATTATTTTAGCAAATATTGAACGTAATTCTGTTTGAAATATTTTATTAAAAAACTAAATTGTTTTTCATTACATAAAAAAAGTATTACATTAGAAATACAATACATTATACACTTTATGAATAAATTTTAGAAAAAAATATATATAAAAATTTAGAATAGAGATTAGTATAACGATTAATCTAATGTATGGCAACATTTTGTAGGAGTGGGTCATGGGGAGGATTTGTTTTACTTCTTTTATCCTCATATGATGAAAGATTTAGGCTTCGTACCGCCTGAATCAGATTCGGAACAATACAAAGTAATAAATCGCTGTGTACAAATGTGGACAGATTTTGCTAAAACAGGGTGTGTAGCAAACTTAATACACCTATTTCCGAATCTTCGGAAAGAATGGTAATAATTCATTTCTCTAACCTAAACTAATTTCAGGAATCCAACGCCTACTATTACCGATTTGATTCCGGTCAAGTGGGAACCATTGAAAACTGGAGACACATATAATTATTTAAACATCGATGCTGAACTTCGAATGAAAACTTTCCGTAAAGAAGAGCAACGATGGAATTGGAAAAACATGAAGATGAAGTTATAACACTTTGTGTGTGTTATGAAAAATAAATAATGATAAGTCTTTCTTAGTATTAAAATTGATTTTTTAAACATTTGGGATTGATAATAAATACTTTTTCGTGTATCTGTAAAGATTTTTTACACCAAAAATTTTTGTACACTTGTACGATAAATGTTAAGAGGTTGCTATCGCCTGTATCTTATTCCGAAGCTTACGACATCAAAAAAACAACAACGTGATAAATCGGTTGTCGCCCATCTTTATGGACCTGATTATTTAATCAAGAGGGTCACAGTACTTGTCACCCTGAATTATAGATTAGGTGTTCCAGTTGCGTTGTCTGTTGACTTGATACACAATCGCCTGTGTGTGTACGTGTCTCTTGCCTCATATCCTCTAGAATAAACATTTAGATTTGGATTTCACATAGATATTTCTAACAATCACTTGCATGCTGACGTATTGTTAAAGATTATTAATTGTCAAAATCTATTTTCTTCGAAACCGTTTTGCATAAAAATTTTATAAGTAAAAGAAATCTATCAAAAAATTACCTTTTTTAAAAAAGGTGAAAAAAAGGCGCCAAGTACACGCTCTTGTCATAACTAATATTGTTTTACTTTTCAAAAAAATTGTCGTATATATTAAACCTTTCAAAAAAACCTGTCGTATATATTAAAATTTTCAAAAAAAGCTATCCTATATATTTCTCACAAAAAAATATGATATTAGGAAATGGCACCAAGTGGGACTAAAAACTATAAAAAACTTGTACACTATTTCTATAAAACTCTTCC